AGTAGCCTCTCTAGCCCGAAGTTGGACCACAACAACATCAAGTTCCGGCTCGGGAGCCATCATCTCTACGGCATGAGGGTCGATCAGGTTTTCCCCTCCCTTAGACGCTATCAAAAAAATATTTTCCCCCTCGTCTTCAATTCGGGGACTTCCCGCCGCTTCTGGAGTTGGGTCTGCCGGGTCAGCCTTAGTTTCTTCCACCTTGATCTTCTTGGACTCCGAAGGTTCATTCGACGGTTCCCTTTGTCTTTTTTCCCTTCATCAGGTCGCGAGGTACCCTCTTCACCAAGCGATGTTCCCTTCATCAATGGGACCTCTCCCAGACCTACACGAATGCAAGAGGTAAGCACAGGGAGTGAGAACGCTATCAGTAGCAATTCAGATTAAAAGGTACGACTGCAACGGGGGCGAAGGCTCACCATGGTCCTTGGCTTCCCATCGAGCTTGGGACAGATCACACCACACTCGCTCAGCATATGGGAAAATCATATCCAGTCGGCCGACCCAGCCCGAGAGGTCCTTGACCGCGCCAGGGTAAACTGCTACGGCTGCATTAGTAGAAGAAATTAAGCGCGTGAAAAGATGTACCTAAAAAGAAGCAAAGAAATGCTAGATAACGTATCTACTTACGTTCCATGTTCCACCTCTCGGGGAATGGCATCCTTTCCGCTGGGATCAGGTCCGAAGTCCTAACTCAAACAAAGTGGCTCATCCACCCTTCGTTCCCAACTTCTTCGATGCAAGCAAAAAGGGCCCTTGAAGCTTGGCAGTGGAGCTTAATCTGACCCCCACGGAAGAGACGGGGGATGTACATCCTGATCAGGTGATCGAGGGTGAAGGGCATCTCCTCAATCATATTCACATAATACCTTATCATGTATATAATGCGCCATAACGAAGGGTGAATTTGGCCGAGGGTCACTTGATACCATTGGCAGAAGTCGAGAATCACGGGATCTATCGTAGGGAAGGATGGCCCACCGGCCCCATGGTAAATGGGTAAGTATACACACTGAGAAAATCGACTTTATATGTCGTTATATCCTCCTCCCGAGAAGGGATCTCCACAAGCATCGCATCCCCCCAGCGACAATCAGTCCTCACCTTTCGACGTCTGTTATAGAACTAATATACTGAGACACAGCCTCACGAAGCCCCGACTTCGAAAAAGGTCTCTCGACCTTGAAATCGGAAGCCGTTGCAAAAGATCCTAGAACGCATTTCTCAACACGGAGGCACTGCCGCTTTGCCTTTAGATGGAAGCAAAGAGGAGGAGGTCACGTTCTCTTGAGAAGTAGAGGCGAAAGTTTTCGCCATTCCTAAAAGATTTCAGAGGAGAAATGAAAATTGCGTTTCGAAGAAAGAACAAAAGTGAAGGTAGAAGGAACCTTTTTAGGGGCTTGATGGTGTATTGAGTTATAAAGAATAAGAAAAGAGGTATTTGTAGTGGCCCCACATGCGCGTTGAAGGAGGCCAAAGGACAGCCAACCACTGTAATTAATATGAAGGCTTTCAAGGGCTGTGTGTACGCGATCTTTTGGCAACTTATGACTGTCGTCATTGCGGAAGTACCCGAGGGGCAAGAATTCAAGGTCGCTTCTTATCACTTTCGCTCTAAGAAATGCGGGGACTATCTGTATGCGGTAAAATCGGAGTGTTCAATTTTCCGTCGTCGCGATGCCTCGTAAGCACATTTTGCAGTTTCGAGATTATGGTCGAGGTTCACCCCCGAGGGCTATCGACGCTCGAACTCGGGGCTGTGCATACCCACGGTTATGATGAAAAAGTGGGGAGTTCCCAAGGCGCATAACTAGAGCTGACAAAGTTTGGTGAGCTAAGTTCAGACTCTAGTCATGGCATCAACTAGCTGTCTCATCTCCATATCTTTTTGTAATTAATGCATTTGTACTATGCTGGGATTCCCCCTCATATAAATAGGGGATCCTTGTTACTTTGTAGGGATCTGTTGCTCAATACTAAATATACAAGAACATTCCCTCTGCTCTCTAACATATTCTCTTGATCTCATTACTTCATTTATTGCTTATATTTATTGTGTTCTATTTATTGTTCATCATTTATTGACTATCATTGATCATAAAGAGCCATCATTTTAGCTCTCATAACTATTAGACCCCCCTCGATGGCCCTAAGCCGGCCTCCAAACTCGACCTCGAGGCCTCGTACACGGCAGTTCGAGGCCCCGACCTCTAGCCGTTCGGTTTGACTATTACCCCGTTTTTAGCTATAATCTTTCTCTCTAGTCTCTTACTTTAGCATCCACTACTTAAACAACTAGCATAAAAATAGATCACGTATTTTTAGAACCACAAAATTAAATTTAATTGTTATAACCATTTTCACGGTAAACAAACATCTTTATTATAAAATGTCAAATTATTTTGGGAATGTGTTGGCTGGCCTAGTTCCATGATAGGTGTCATCACGACCGGGTTGGTTTTGGGGTCGTGAAAGTTACCATTCCGAATTATTATAACTAAGGGTGGCAAATAGTTAAAAGAAAATAGTTAACAACACATTATCCACTAAAAAATAGGTTGGATAATGAACTTTTAAAAATGATTCAAATATGGATAAGAATCATATTATCTATTTAGAAAATGTATAACCAAAACCAATGGATAACTAATGGGTCTAATTTTTATATTTGTAAAGCCTCAAATTGGGGGTTCCTCAAGTTAGAGAAACTAAGAATTCTTCCAAAAGTGATCATAAACAAGAAGTCATGGATAATATGGTTACCCATATTATCCGTCGGTTAACCCTTTTTTATCCGTATTAAAAATGGGTCGGGTCGGATAATTAATCCGTATTTTCATTATTCGTTTTTGTTTAACCAAAAAATAGAATTTCAGTCAAAGCTAGAATTTAGAAGAACGCGGGTTACTGATAATCAAAAGAATATGTAGAAGAAAGTAATTTGGAGTAACCAGAGTGTAATCAGGAGAAAAACAAGTGAATCAAAGTATATTCCAATTTTGTCTTGTGTTTACAAGTGACTAGATACCCCCCTTTTATAGGTATCTTAAAGATATGCATTTCCTCCAAATCATAATGAGGCTATTATAAATAATTAAAGACATTGAATGCTACGTTACACAATCATTGTAATCAATACAAATTCTCTAACGTATCCAGTATTTAATGCCTATCGAATTTCGTATTTGCGCTCTTTATTATGGTCAGATCCATTCCTTTTGATAAATGACTTAAATAGGTACGAGCGCTGAATCCTTCAAATGTCCTCTCGTGCTTCTTTCTTTGCCTTTGCTCGTTTCTATTGTTGCCCGTGCCTCTTGACTAATTATAATTCTTTGATTATTTGACCAGTCCACGTGTCTCAACATGTCACTTACATATATAAATGCAATTTTTCCCAATACAGTTTTCGACCCGAACCATATCCGACCCGACCGGCCCGTTTGCCACTCCTAATTATAATGTACACATACCGTGATATTTGTTCATAACCATTTTGCATCTTCTATAATAAAAAGCGAGTTATATTGACAAAGAGCATGACGAATTATATGTTCTTTAAGGCCGAGATGAATAGAAGATTAAGACAGTAATTTTGACATATGCAATTAAATGTAGTAATTTATTTGGAAAAGGCAAAAGTGGGACGCCAACTGTCACTGGAGGTCGAAAAAACGAAAATGAAAAAAACAGAAGCCAACAGAATAATATAAATGGTAAAAGATTTTATGGTGTAGGAAAGTATACAAGTGAAAAGGCCAAATGAGGCAGCAGCTTTCACAAACATTCTCCAATGGTACATTTAACTTAGTAAATTACCAAAAGAATCATGGCGAAATGTATACCATAGGAAATTGCTATTTCTGATATATTGAAAATGAAAGTTCACAGAACGGTGAAGACGAGTCTAGTACTGTACTTGGTATTTTCACCATCTTTATTTTTTTTTAAAAAATAAAGCTATCAAGTCTAAGTTTATATGCAACTTGGATCTGTATAAAAGGTCCTCTCCTACGTCGCTTTTTTCTCCCTCTTATACGTGGGAAAGTCTTTTTTTTTTTAATAATTTGATTACAAGACTCCCACTGGTACCACTGACATTAGTTTTGTTTTTTTTTTGTTTTTTGATGCGAGGTACGATATCCGTATATAGGGTCTGATTAATCTGAATTTGTTCAAAAGAATTTCAATTTGAGGAATAAATTGCTCCCTACCAAGCAATTCTATATTTAGAAATCGAACCCACGATCTCTGACAATTAGCTTTGGTTGTTAATTCTACGTGGCCAAGAAAGTTTTACATGCCTCAGATTTTGCACCAATTTAGTGTCTCTCCTAGGCGTGCGAACAAAATATCACATTTATAGCTGAAAAGATTGGGAGCCTACATATAAAGTGTAAGGAGTTTTTAATTGTGTGAGACCTTTTTGGGAAAACTATGCGGGCTTGGCCCAAAGCACCTAGGTTTAATGGGACGAGTATGGAGATGACAAAGTGATGGTACGGGACGGCACACACACAAGAAGATGCTAGTTGCGGGCTTCGGTTGCCATAATACTCTAACAATGTGGGTGGCACACTGTAAATCTCGGAAACTGACCCGTGGATCATAGCTGAAATGATTGGGAACCTACATATAAGAGTATCTTTGGGCCGTTTTAACCAAATACTCCCTTTGTATTTCTATTAGCACTAATATAACAAGTATTAGTTATACATAAGTGGAAAAACACTAATACAAAATATTGGATTATATATTATTTTCCCTAATACATCATATCAAACGGCCCCTAATAATGTAATATTTCTACAATGTCATTTTAATAACTTAAATCTTTCTGGAAAAACAAAAACTACTCCACTAGTTAACAGTGTAAAAAAAGCAGAGGGGAAAAATGAGTATTTTTGCATGGTGGGTTTAGAGGCGGGTCCCTTGGACATTGTTCCATAGCCTTTCTGGACTCTTATAAAGACGCTGACACCCCCATTCCTTGTAATTCCCATCATAGCAAAAACAACATATACTGCAATACCATAATAATATCCTCATCTTCATTACTGTCTTTTTTCAATTCCTCTCTTAGCTTTCAACTATCATCCTTTGAGCACTCTCCTCATTTGGATGTTGTTGTTTGCTTAAGGTAATTAAACACACTTCATTATTTGTGTATATCTCTTGGAACTTGAAATTTTGTTAATTAAGCACATACTATATGACTTGTTTTCTTATTCATTTCTCAATAAATTGGCTTTAACTTTTGTGCAGAAGGAAAACACTCCTAGCTATTTGTTTTGATCATCTCAAGATGTCAATGAGTCTCAAGAACTTGAACACAAGTTTGAAGATGGAAGATAAGGGTATACCACTACCCCCACCACTACCCCCATTATCTAAGGCAAGCACAGCAAAACAACAAGGCATAATGTCCATTCTTGGATCAGACAACAACAAAGCAGCTGCAGCTTCCATTAGAAGAACTCTTTCAGCTGATATGTCATCCAAAAAATGGCTTTCACAAAATGGATTCTATTCCCCTATGAAGAAAATTGGCTCCTCAGAAGAGCTTGCTAATCTTGGACAAGATGATGTTTGGAAATCAATCCAAAATGGTAATAACAAATCAGAGCCAATTACATCAGTTGATGTTTGGAGCTCTATTTTAACTCAAAAGAAAGATGACTCATCATCCACAATTCCACCTCCTTATATTCACCCTCTTCTTAAAAAATCCAGCTCTCTGACTGAGAAAAGTCTTGAAATTTGTACTGAAAGTCTTGGATCAGAGACTGGCTCTGAGATTAACCTTTCCTCTTACCCACCCTCTGACACTGATGATGACAAAGATGATCATCAACAACAACAACAAGAAAAAGAATTCATCTCTCACTCCTTTGAGGAATTTCCAGTTGTTAAATATAACCATAACAAAAGATCATCATCTACTCCTAAGTCATTCCCTCCTCCTATTTCTTCCTTGGCTGCTGAGGATAAGCCCTCTGTTCACATGCAATCTCACAGGCAAAATGGTAGATTGATTCTTGAAGCTGTTTCTGTTCCTTATCAAAATCTTTTCCGTACCCAACGCGTTGATGGCCGCCTTCTTCTCACCTTAATCAGCACTAGTCCTACTTCAGAAACAGAGGATAATCAAGAAGTTGCAGAGTTTGAGAAAGTGTTCGACGAAATGCAACAAGTTGAATATAATAAACCACCTCAGTTAGACTATGATGGTTATGAAGAAGAAGATGAATATGAAGAGGAGGATGAAGATGAAGAGGAAGAGGAGGTGGAGGTGGAGGTGGAGGAGAAAGAAAATGGGACAAAAGGGATGCAAATTGTGCTGGAACAAAAACCAAGATTGTCAAATGGTAGGATGAATGTGAACACATCAACATTGATGATGAAACAACTTATGGGACTAGAGAAAAAGAATCATCATCTAAAATGGTCAAACAAAGAGAATGACATAACCCAAGTTCCTCATTCACTTCCACCAATTTCAGCAGCAGCTTCTTTCAATGCCTATGAGTATTTCTGGAGGAAGAATCCCACTATTGTTAACAACTACAATGATGATAAGCAGGTTGTTGTTTCAGCCCCCAATAGTATTACTCCCAATGCCAATGGTACTACTACTACAAAGATAGCATCTTATGAGCAGAAAGATTTGGTGCTAATGAGAGGAAACAAAGGAAACATCAATTATTTGGTGCCTTTGTTGAAAGGATGCAAAGAACCAAGGAGATCTCTACTCATTTGGGAGCCTCACTGCATTGCCACCTCCTAATCATCATTGTCTAATCCCAGTTTTAATTAATTAGATCATAATATATAATCACATAATAATAATAATAATAATAATAATAATAATAATAATAATAATAATAATAATAATAATAATAATAATAATAATAATAATAATAATAATAATAAATGGAGTAATGTATCATTTAGAAATGTGATTTTTCCTCTCTTTGTTAGTCCGTCTAGTTTTTACTCTTTTGGTCAAAAAGAGTTTTCTGTAGCCAAATAAACAAAGAGAGAGGGAGAGAGATATCAATTATAAATGTCTTTGATTTTAGAGGATTGAACAAGGAAAACATAGAGAAGATTTTAGTTGTTTTCAAAATCATCATCTTTTATTTAAGCCTATGTTGTGTGTTTTAGTTTATGATGATATTACTAAACTCTTAAATATATGAGCCAAGTTTGACTTGGTGGTGTATTGTCTGTCTATCTCAGCATCAAATGCGAATTCTCCTTCTTTCTTTTCCTCTTTTTTTTCTTCCTTTTGTCCTTAGCTTTTTGTCATTCCAATCTGAGGTGAAGGAATTGAGTGGCTGTGTTTTATGATTATATCTCTAAGGTTTTATGATATACTTCACAATTTAGATGTAATGATATATTGTACAAATATTTTGACAGTGCAATCTCCCTTCAATTCAAGTGCATACAGCTCCCACCCCACCCTGCAATCATCATGTTGTAAACACAATCAAGACACAAAAATGTTTTTGAATTTTTTAAAGGTAATGTGCAAATATTCTAAAAACATTTACACTAACAACGTAATAATTTTTACATTATCAATTCTCGAATGCACAACATGTATGTGTGGATATAAGTTATATAAATGACCATGTAATATTTTCTTACTAATAGTGGAATTTAAATTTAAATAGTCATAACAAGTTACTTGTTATTTTATTCAAGTTATCAATATTAATATTTTTTAAGGAGTAACTCTTGTTTTCCTCTAGGTGACTTGATTATGTAGACATCTTTATATTAGGTACCGCATAAAACTTAAACTCGCAATATATTAATTAATTATAAGTGCTATGAAAAATAAAGTAAATTACTTGCTATAACTAATTAGAACAATACTGATACAAACAATATTAGTTAACCACTGTCATTATATAACTTAACTTCCTTTTGCTAAACCAATCTCTCTCCGCTATCTTGTCCCCACCATCACGCTCAAGTTGTAAATATGCATGTATGTATACACTTTGTCCTCGAACACTTCAGCATCACAAACTTTTGGTATGAGTAGTACAGGCAGCATATATCAACTTTCTCTACTTGCGTAGTGGATGAAATATACATCACACAAACATACAAACAAGAGCCAGTCGAGAAAAGAAAAGAAAAGAGGGGGAGGGGGGCATTCCCTTATGTATATGAGAATTATCATATTCATAATTATACTACGTAGTGGCGAAGACTGGATTTCCGCTAAGAAAATTCAAAAAAAAAAATATTAAAAAAAATTGTAGTTAGTGAGAATTAAACCAATGACCTTACAAAGATTTTAAATCTTCTTAACCACTAAGTTATGCTTTTGGACTGTATCAAGAGGATTCAAAACATAATATATAGAGGTGTAACAAATTTTGCCTTATATATACAGTGTAATATTTCGGCGAAGAGGTTCGGGGCGAAACCCCATCCCCTAAATCCGCCCTGATACTATGCTACTATGTAAAGACATAGCCAGAATTTTGAGTTGATAAGTTTTGGACTTTAGAAAAGACATTTGAATAAATTATTTTTTATATATATAGTGATCAATTTCTTAATACAAAAATAAAATTTTGACCAAAGCAATTAAATTATGCTGAACTGTAGCTAAAACTCGACGCAAATACACATATATTCTAGTGGATACATTATTGTCCATTTCTATTCTTGATCATAGTGGGGACTACTTGAGAGATTCTCATGTTAAACAAGTACTTAAAAAATTAATTTATTCCATCTTTAGTGATGGTATTTTCTTAGATTCTGACTCCCTCGCCTTTTTCGAAATACATTTCAAAATGCATGTTAAACTTTATATTTTGAAGATTTATACTTATTCCATCTAAGAATTATTCTGACTGAGCCCAACTGCCCAAGAGGTGATGTGGAGAGCTGTGTTATAAAGCTAGCATTGATAGTGGACAGAACCATATGCTCTCTATCCATAACCTCTGGTCTCATTTATTTCACTAATTCTTTTTCTAAAGAGTAAAGTTAGAGTCATTTTCCTCCTCCTTCAAGTGCCTTATCCCATTTTTCCTTATATGGCAGTTAGCACCACTTTAAAAAATTAACCAACCTTTTTCTGTTTTGTTTTATTTATCACCGTTAAAGAAATCGATATCAAGATTCTTGAAGGACGTGTTTGGACATTAATTTGTTGAAGTTGGGAAAAAAAAAGTAGCAAAAATTGAAGTTGGAAAAGACTATCTGGACATATAAATTTCACTAGGAAAAACTGTAGAAAATGTACGAGCAAAAATTATTATTTCACTTGAGGTACTCTTCAAACAAGTTTTTCAATCTTTTACAAATACTTCAAACAACAAAGTTAGTGGGCGTTTAGACATATAAACTGTGAAATTTCGAATAAAAGTGAAAAAAAAAAATTCAAGTTTTAAATAATATTTGAAAATTAGAGATGTGTTTGGACATGAATACAATTTGGAGCTATTTTTAAAATTTTTGTGAGTATTTTGAAGTGAAAATTTTGAAAAATAACTTTTTGGAGTTTTTCAAATTCCTCAAAAATTCCGAAATCAACTTCAAGTGAAATTTGAAAATTTCATGGCCAAATACTAATTCCGAAAAAAAATAAAATCTTTTTTAAAAAAAAAAGAATCTTATTTTATGGCCAAACGGGCCCTTAATCATTTTTGCAAATACAGAAAGCCACACCAAATTTTTTTTCAATTTTAGTTTTTTTTAATATTGAAACTGTCACGACCCGGATTTCTCATCCTCGGGAGTCGTGATGGTGCCTGCTAGTAAAAGCTAGGCAAGCCAACCGTTTGAATAATTTACCTTTTTCCCATTTTTTAATCCTTTAACAATTATGAACCAACAGTTTATAAACAGCGGAATTTAAACAAGCGGAAGAAAAAAATAAAACCATTTAAATATTTTCGATACAATTTCTTAAACAAAGACTACCTAGAACTGGTGTCGCAACTTCATAGACGATCTAGGAATACTACAAACAAGGTCCGAAAAATAAATATGACACTGTTTCTGAAATACATAAATGAAACAGAATGGAAGGATAGAGGGAGACGCCAGGGCTTGCGGACGCCTGCAGGACTACCTTGGATCTCCGAATGGACTGAAGGCAACAACCCAAAGCTACGGTCTGTATGCTCCAGTACCGGATCTGCACACAGTGCAGAGTGAAGTATCAGCACAACCGACCCCATGTGCTGGTAAGTGCCTAGCCTAACCTCGGCGAAGTAGTGACGAGGCTAGGACCAGATTACCAAATAAACCTGTGCAGTTAAATCATATACAACGAAAAATAAAAGCAGGAATGTACAGTTTAGAATGGGAGAGGAAAACATGTTGCGGGGAACCATCAAATGATAACAGAAGGACAGAAGGTAAATACAAGGAACACCATAACTCAATTAACCACAAGAATCAGAAATCAAACAAGTGCACGGCATCACCCTTCATGCTTTTACTCTCGCCCTCACCACAAGAATCAAGATAATCTGCATGGCATCACCCTTCGTGCTTTTACTCTCGTCCTCACCATAAAATCAATATAATCAGCACGGAATTGTACATCGTGCGGCATAGCATCACCCTTCGTACTTTTACACTCTTCCTCACAAAATCATACACGGCATCACCCTTCGTGCTTTAACACTCTCTCACCAAAATAATGCACAACATCACCCTTCGTGCTTTAACAATCTTCCTCACCCAAACAACAATCACAAGCAATAAGGGCAAGAAAAATAAATAAAATTACAATAAAATTGTCACGACTCGAATCAGAGGGCCGTGACGGGCACCCGGTGCTTTACTCAACCGAGTACCAACGTAACATATCTTTCTTATCATGTTATCATGAGTAAATGAGCCAGAAAACCCGTCATGAGATAACAAGAATAAAACATAAGGGAATACTCAACATATGAAGACCCAACATGATATACAAACTAATATATGTGACATACGGGCCTATAAGGCCGACATGACCATTAGTAAACTCGAAACATAGGCCGACAAGGCCATACAAGTATCCATACACCTGACATCTGTCTACAAGCCTCTAAGAGTACATAAAATCATAAAGGTCGGGACAGGGCCCCGCCATACCAATCAATACATATCCAAAGCATACTGACCAACTAGGCAACTCCGGAGCAAGTGGAGTGCACCAACACCTTCGCTGAGCTGATAGCCTACTAGAAGGACTGTCAACCTATCAATCGGGACCTGCGGGCATGACACGCGGCATCCCCAGGCAAAAGGGATGTCAGTACGAATAAAGTACCGAGTATGTAAGACAGGAAAGCATAAACAAGAACAGTAATGTAAGGAGAGATAGAGGAGATACAACCTGTAACATCTGAGTGTCTCTGGGGGCTACTGACATGAAATGCATAATACATATATATACATGAACTTTTTAAAACATTCGCCTCTGTGGGCATCATCATCATCATATCGTACACGGCCTCAAAGTGGACTCGGTAAAAACGTCCCGGCCATCATAAGGCTCGGTAGAATAGTACCCGGCCACGTGGAGCTCGGTAAACCCAACTGATCAGTGGTTGCACAATAGGTGCCATACCCGGCTGATTATAGCGCGGCTCGGTAGAGTAAAATAGATACATATATAAAATGCATGCTCGACTCATGGAATCACGTTCTAACCCTTTCGGAGTGATGTAAGGTCATTGCACCTTCGATTAACATTATGGACATCCCTACCATCAATATGAACCTTAGTGGGATTTAAGGATCATACACACTTGTTTAGAATAACTTTATAAGGAAAGAACAACATGGACAACCTTAGTTTCTAGGAGTAGATCCGTTATGAATTAGCGTACCGTTTATGTTCATGTCACTTTAGATCATGCCAAAAGAAAGAAGTAAGTGCCTTAACATACCTTGTATATTCTTCCCAACCTCAAGCTATGCAATTTTACGGCTCCTTAGTCTACAATAAGAGAAATGACACTCTCGTTATCGTTTAAGCGTCGTAACTATTATGTATCCACCACAACCTATTTTACAATGAAACTGACAGAACCTCCCCTATATATATGACTTCACACTAGTCAAAACAATCACAAACAGCCCAACATACCCCTATCACTTCATACACAACACGACAACCATAATAGTGTCAACCAACCCAAAAATGTTACGACGAACGACCAACAAACAACCTTGCCATTATGTGGTGTTTCTCCACAACCTTAATCCTTTCAACTCCATAAAAATAGTAGTAAAAGAGACAACCCAATACCAACACGAAACAGCCCAAAAATATTCCCACAAGTTCATCAACTCAAAAATAATTTTTCAGTTTACTTAAACACGTTTCGACTTGTCTTTTCTTTCAAATTGGGAAATACAACCAAAAGTACATCATTATACCT